TATATATATATATATATATATATATATATATATATATATATATATATATATATCCTCCGCTGGCCTATGTATTATTCAGTTTCTTGAAATTTCACAATAATGATGTATTGTGATGATTAGATATAGCTATTGTTTTTGTACATTTTCACCGCATGTTTCTTATTTATTTCACTCCAATTTTTTTGTTCAATCCATCTCTCTTCACTATTTTATGTGCTTCTATTTTTAATGAAAACTCCATGTCCAAAAACCTGCATCTCATATTGCTCCCTGAGAACTATTTTAATTAAAATAAATTTTAGTTTGTATTAATAATATACAAGGATTATGTCAAATAATTTGAGTTAACTACTACTACTGCTACTACTTCTATATAAACGAGGGACTCATTGGACAACATTAAGTTAAAATTGTTTGAGTTAAGTTTTTTATCCAACTCCAGATCCATAACTTATGCGGTGGGACACTACGTTAGATAATTATTCATTATTTTTGTAAATTAAGTACTATGATAATAGAATTCATTCGGGCAATTATTTAAGAGGTTTTTGTGCATAAGTCATTGACCAACCATCTTTATTATTTTAGGTTCAAGGGTTATATTTATTTCGCCAATAATCCTATCCCTTTTATATGTACTAGAAAGGTGGATGTGTGTTGCACGTCTCGGGTTAGTTTATTTATGATTTTTTATATTTTATATAGTTATAGAATATTTGCAATCGAAATCACATAGTATATATTAAAAATGTCTAAACTATTTGATGTAATCTAACATTATTTGTCAATAGAATCTAACTTTTTCTAATTTTGAAATGTGTTTAGATTCATAATTCTACTTATATTTTCATAAATGATTCCATTAATCTTTTGTGTTGTATTTTTTTATCGTGGTAAAATGAAAGTTATTTTTATCTTTTTTTCAAATCTTAATGTGCTCATGCACATTATTAGAAAATGTTATTTACTTTATTTCTTCTTGTAGGTATTAGATTTTTTTTATTACCTTTAAAATATAGATTCCTCGTGACAAAAGTGATCAGAACTAAATAACACATCCAACTAAACATTTGATTCACGTTCTTTCTAATATTCATTCCAAAACTGCCCCTCCACACAAACTCGAATACGTCCTTGGTAAAATTCAAAATCCATTCATCATTTTTTATTCCTCCATCTTGATTTTTGCATCTAACATTTTAAACTTTTTATTTCTACAGAATTGTCTTTTTTTTTTGTTCGCCTTGTTTTTCATTTTAGCATTTTTTACACTATTATAGAAAACTTATTCTTCCTTATTTTCTAGGTATAATTGCAAATTACGAAAAGACATGTTTTTTTTTATATAATTTAAATTACATGTGTTTTAATTAGTTTTTATATTTTATCTTTTGTCGATTAATGTAGATATCTATACTCACTCGTAGTCACTATATGTATGTACATATATGGCTCTTTTGTTTGGGTGAGTCGGATAGATAAGTATGGATGGGATATGTAGTATTGGGATTAAACAGATGATTCACAATGCTGGGTATGTCTTTTGGTTGGTTGAATTGGGCTGAAACTAATAATCTCATGATGAACACTGTGTTTTGTATAGCTGATAAACCAGTTTAATGTGGGATTATTTGTAAAATGACTGTAATGCCCCTAAAATACAATATTTACCAGCCATATGTCTCTTTCATTTTTCAGCCCCTTTAAATCCAAAGTTTTTCCTCCGATAATTGAAGAAAAAATCCCGACTATTGTATCCCGTTTTACAATTGTTTTCCCGTATAATCGCCGGCAGCAATATTTTGCGTAGGAGTTCGAGCAACAACGGGTATGGTGGATTCTATTCAAATGGCCAGCAACAACAATTTTGTGATTACATTGTACAACTCGCCTTACAAACTTCTTGGACCCCTGCCAACCCAGGTCGCCGGCTCTTGACTTGTGCAAAACGTGTATGAATCCATGTCTACCTATATATACAAGTGAAACATTATTGTTTGGATTTTGAACTGCACTGTATCTCCATATTTAACATGTGTGGTCTTTCAAACTCTTTATCACACGTGTACCTATTAATTTGGTCATTATGTATAATTAATTTGGTCAATCCCTAACATTAATTTTGAATGATCTTCATTTCCCCTCCATATTTTTGTAGTAATTCAATATGATATACATGAGGGTGTATTTGCACAAATTTGTGTTTGCGCAATTAGTTGAACTAATCTGGGTATTTTTTTCTCCGTTTAGAGTTCATGCATTAATTTTTTGTGTAATTAATCGTGAGATTGATGTGATAATCTGTATAATAATCAAATAGGTATCACAATAAAATATAATGGTGAGTTGAGTATTAATATGTAATATATTTGTAATTTTTGTATGATGTAAGGGTATTTTCAAAAATTCACATGGGTGTAATGGTGGGAGAATTAAAGGGATAAGTTGTCAAGCCAAAATTGGCTTGATAACTAATAAATCAAATGGTTGATTAAATCAGTGGAGCCGGATATCAAGGATTGCAAAACACGTGAATCAAATATTGTACTATGGGGTACAACATATCCCATCATGCCTAGTAATGCAAATCAAAAGGGTCCATATAGTACAACATATTATAATATACTATGATGTAATATGGCATACTATGGTGCATCATGATGTACTAAGGTTTACTATTCTGGACCAACTCTCAGCCGTCACCAAGCCCTAATATTCAATAACTTCCAGCCGTTGCCAAACGGTATCAGTCAACAATTTCCAGCTGCCCGCAAACCGAGCAGGCAAGAACTCCCCAACCGCCGCCAAATACTATCTACCAAA